CCTGGGACAGGGGAGGGGGGAGATGGTTATAACTTATTGAACACTTAACCCTGCCAAGTGCTACACTAAGCATTTTGACATATCTCATTTGATCCTCACAGATTCCCAAGAGGAAGGTAATATTATACCCATTTTATAGATGGGAGATCTGGAGCTAAGAGCTGGCTGTATGCCTGGAGCCAGGACTAATCCCAGACTCAGAACGATTTATAAAATTGCTCTGTTCCCAGCCAACAAAGAGTGAGGTACAGGGGAGACAATACTGCCTCCTGCTCGAATTCTGGAAGATGATCTGTGAATCCCTTCTCTTTCTCCACAGCTTTCCAGAAATGCTTGTGATTCCATTTACGCAGCTGGGGAGGGTCTGAAGCAAAAGCTCTTGCAAGACAATAGAGCACAGGATGAAGCCCAGGATGAAGTTCATATCCCAGCTCTCACTTCCAAGGTGTGTGACCTCAAGTAAGTTGCTAAGCCTCCCTGAGTCTCAGTTGTCCAGTCTTTAAAATGGGATATCAAGGGGCATTTGTGTGGCTCAGTCGGTTAAGTTTCTGCGTTCGGCTCAGGTTGTGATCCCAGGGTCCCACGATGAGGACCCACATTTGGCTCCCTGCTCAGCGAGGAGTCTGCTTTTCCCTCTCCCTTTGGAGGTCCTCCTGCTTGTGCTCTCCTGCTCTCCCTCTTTCTCTCTTTGTCAAATAAATAAGTAAAATATTTAAAATTAATTAATTTTTAAAAATGGGATAGTAACAAGCAGGGTTGAGGTATAGATTAAAAGAGATAATAAATAACAGAATATTACACACGGTAAACACACAACGAACACATTTATTCTTCTTCTTACAGTTCCCCAACAGAGACCTCTTCCCATCTCAACATGACAGGAAGATTTGTTTATTCACTAGATAGGAACTGTGTCCTTACTATTTGCTAGGTCTTAGGCTAAATGCTTTGCAGACATGAGTTTATTGAACCTTACAATTCTCTGAAGTAGATATTGTTATGAACCCCATTTCACAGATAGGGAAACTGAGGCTTGTAGAGGCGAAGTTATTTGCCAGATCCCTCAGCTTGGAGGACAAAGAAGTAAAGTGATACTGAAGCATCAAATGTTTGGTGGGTGGGTGGGGTGGCGCCTGGGTGGCTCAGTGGGTTAAAGCCTCTGCCTTCGGCTCAGGTCATGATCTCAGGGTCCTGGGATCGAGCCCCGCATCAGGCTCTCTGCTCAGCCTGCCTCTCTGCCTACTTGTGATCTCTGTCAAATAAATAAATAAAATCTTTTTAAAAATGTTTGGTGGGACTGAAGCTAAGACAGGATGCAGAGTTTGAGCATTCAAGACCTATCATTGGCCCTGGAGCTCAGGGAAGCAGCAACAGCAAAAAGCCAAGAAAGGACTAGATTGGGGGCCCCCAGCTGGTGGGCATTTGGGGCCACTTCTGAACTCAGAAGTATCTCACTGACAAGGAAGCCCAGCGAAAGCGTGGGAACTTTTCATTTAAACTTTTAAGAGCCAGAAATTGAGTCCTTCCTATGTCCACTAGACAGCATATCCGTGAGTGACCGCCATCAAGCCAAAGTTACAAAGTCAAGGGCGAAGCTGACAGGGTTCAAGTCCTAGCTCTGCTACACTTCCCAGCTCTGTTGACCTTAGGCGAGTTGTTTGACCTCTCTGAGACTGTTGCTTCAATTGTCAAATGAGATTAATAATACAAACTACCTCACAGGGTTGTCAGAAGAATGTTTGATTACAAGTAAAGGACTGCAATTAACACATAGTAAGGGCTTGATAAATATTAGCCCGTTTTTATTCCTGATTATTCTGATTATTATCTGATTATTCCTGCAAGGGCAGGTACATAAAAGAGAGAAGTAGATCATGGTAGGACCTGGAAAGCACATGACCTGCCAAAAGGGGTGGATGTTACTCAGCCATAGTCATTGTTATGAGGCAGGAAAATGGTTCCATTGGGGCCAGACCTTCCAGTTCTCCACTCAAAGCCACACTGGCCTCCTTTCTGCTCTAAACACAGCATCCAGCAGGCATATTCTGCCTCAGGGCCTTTATACTGGCCTGGAATTTCAGTGATACTCACACCTTTCACTCCCTGATCTATTTCAGCTCTGTGCTCAACTGCTCACCTATACATTTCCAATTCTATTCCTTTTTCCTACTGTACTGAGTTTTCCACATTGTATTTATCATTTATTTTTTAAAAGATTTTTATTTATTTATTTGACAGACAGAGATCACAAGTAGGCAGAGAGGCAGGCAGAGAGAGAGGAGGAAACAGGCTCCCCGCCAAGCAGAGAGCCCGATGCGGGGCTCGATCCCAGAACCCTGGGATCATGACCTGAGCCAAGGGCAGAGGCTTTAACCCACTGCGCCACCCAGGCGCCCCTGTATTTATCACTTAATAACATACTATTATTGTTTTATACTATTATCCTATTATTGTTTTATACTATAATAGTATAATATAATTATATACTATAATAGTATTATTATACTATTATTGTTTTATACTATTATTGTTCTTCCCTCCACTGGCAAGTTAATCTTCTACACTGGCAGTATTTTTTTTCCCCACTATTGTATTCTCGGCACCTAGAATGGAGTCTGGCACATGGTAGGTACTCAATAAATATTTATGGAATGGGTTGTGTCTTCATGCTACCAGTTCATGAGTAATAGTTCAAGGAATCATTTGGTCATTTTTGCTTTATTGAGCACCTACTGTATGCAAGGAATAGCTCTGGAAACTCCAGAGGATGCAGAGAACAGAAAATACTCCTTGTCCTAGCAGAAGGGAGTTAAGTTGGGAAGGGAAAAGAAGGGACTTTGGAGTTGAACACGTCAGAGTTTGTGACCCAATTGTCTCACACAGAACTGGGGAAACCATACCTCTCTGAACCTCACTCCTTCATCTGTGCAGTTGGGATAAGAATCATGTTCTCTCCTCATTGGGCTGTCGTGATGAGTAACGAAGTGTGCATGTCAAGTGTCTTAACGCAGTCCAGCTACAAGGCAAGTGTGTGATTCATTCTTTCATTTAGCAAATATTGAGTGGCCTCCCACATACCAGGCACTGTGCCACTTGTGGAGGGGCCATAGACAAAGAAGGGAAAGTTGCTACATACATGGAGTCCAGGTTTAATGGGGGTGGGGGAGTGAGGGGGGGCACCAACGATAAACAAATATACTATATAAATATACCTACAGTGTGTGTGTGTCACTTAAGCAGTGATAAATACTTTGAAAAAAATACAAGGTGAGGGAACAGAAAGAGAAGGGAATATTATTTTAGATAGGTCCCCTGGAGAGGTGACATTTGAATAAAAACACTTGATTGAGCCAAGGGGGGAAACCATGCAAAGATCTGAAGAGTCTAGGATTGATTGGTTGATCCAAGGAGGGGAAGTAGCAAGTGCAAAGATTCTGATGTAGGAGTGATTGTCAAGTGATGGAGGAGGAGTTTGGTGGCTGAAAGAGGGAAAGAGAAAGGGATAGGTCAGAGATTAAGACAGAGGAAATAGGGAAGGCCAGACTCCGGCTTTTACTCCGAGTGAGGTGTGGACGTGCTGGAGGGTTTGGAGGATGGTGGCATGATCTTTGTTTTCCAGCATCACTCTAGCTGCATAATAGATCATAGAGGGGAGTGGTAGTAAGACCAGTAATCAGAGCTTGGAGGATGGTTTGGATCAGCAAAGTGGTAGCAACGTTGGAACAAATTTCAGGTCTTGAAGGCAGAACCAATGGGATCTGCTGATCGTTTCACACGTGCAACAAGAGCAAAACGTGAAGAATTCCCCAATGTTCTACCTGAGCAACTAGACCAAAGGTGTCAATACAAAAAGAAATGGCTATGGGAGAGGCAGCTTTGATGGGGGAAGGGGAGAAGTTCAGTTTTTCCAAGTTTGGCTTTTTTTTTTTTAAGATTATTTGAGAGAGAGCATGAGCAGGGAGGAGGCTCAAACAGGACCCTGAAATTACGACCTGAGCCCAGATGCTTCACCAACTGAGCCAGCCAAGCACCCCTAGCTTTTGAAGTTTCAATTGAATGCATGAAGGGGAACACAAACTTGGAAATGTAGGCTGGGCCCCCAGTTTTGAATGCCCTGACAGATTCAGGAAGGTCAGTGGGCTGATGCAAGTTGGTGATATTCATGTCAAGACCATTATAGTAGAGCTTTGGATTATGGAGCTCTGGATTTATTGCTGGATCAATTACCCCCAAAACTTGTTACTTAAAAAACATTTCATCTTATTTTCTGTAGGTCACTAAACCAGGCACGGCTTGAATGGGTCCGGTTTCAGGGTCTCTCGAATGTATGAAGATGCCAGTGGGGAAGGATCTGCAGTCCTTGGCAGGGCTGGGTTCCATGCACATGCTTGCCTGGATCCCACCTTGCTCAGTGGACGTTTCCCATTGACAGCTTCCTTCATCAAAGCCAGCCAAGGAATAAAACAGGTATGAATGGAACTAGCAAGAGAACAAATTTGGGGGTCAAATCTCCAGTGACTTACCCTCTTTCATGTTTTCTGTTCATTTGAAGAACTAAGTCCAACACACTCAAGGGGAGGGAGATCACATGTGGAGTCAATAGCAAGCTCTAGCTTAGAAGGCACAATATAAATGGCCCAGTGTGAAATCCCATCTTTCCTGAGTGAGACAATCTTAAGACAACATATATTAAATTGAGGCAGGGGAGTGGTAAGAGTTAGATGAAGCTAGATTGGCCATGTATCTTAGACCAATCTAGAATTTTCCATGGTTAAATAGTAAAAACATGTAAATCAAGTATAGCCCTAATCATATACACGGATCTCACAAATCACTGGACCCGTGCTTTAGTATACCTGTTTAGAAATGCCTGCAGAATGTACAAGTGTGCGATCAGCCCTCCATTTTCTCTCTGCCCCTGGAGTTTGACCCCTGTAGACACGATTGCTACTGATTATCCATGGTTCAATGTTTACCTCCATTAATCAAATATAAGAGCATTTTTGTTTTAAGAATTTTATTTTCTCATCCAGATAGGAATGATACAAGCTAAAAATTTTACCAAGTTTAACCATACTCCTGGATTCTCCAAAATGGGCACAGGCCTCTAGACAATCCTCAGGTTACACAAAACCTTTTTGAGACAGATTCAACCAGAACTATCACTCTTTCTCAGGAAAGCACAGGATCAATCTTTTCCAAGACTTGGAGTCCAGCTCCATAGTTGAGAAATTCCTTAAAAAAAAAAAAAATTACAATCAGTATTTAATTCTGATGTAAAAAGCTACTTGTTTGGGATATGGGTGGTACCAATACATCCTACTCTTTGTCTTAATTTTCCCCTCCTGTTTTACCACCACTTGAGAAGTGGGTTCCCAGGTTACTCCCCAGCAGGCAAACTCAGTATCTCTATGGGGGAACGTTTAATCACCTTTAAAGAGGGTGGATACTTAGATAATGCCATTTGCAGAAACCTCACCTGCTGCAGGTCAGAATGAACCAAGCTCATCAGGCTGCATCTACGTACTGTCCTGTGGCTCACTGGGCTCCTAACCTGTAGAAAGTTAGCAGGTCAAACAAGGTAAGGAACCTGATTCCTGGTGGGGAGAAAACCAACCAAGCCCAAACGCCACTTAAAAACACTTAAAACACACACACACAGCAGAAGTTAGTGGTAAGCAGAAAACAGAGAAGTTATCTCTGGGGCCAATGCATCAGACAAAACACTGGCTAAAGGTTCCGTTAGATCAACATGGTCGATCTGATGGGGAAAAAAGTTATGTCATCAATTGCAATGGCCAAATTTGAGTTAGAGCAGAACACTGGGCACAGACAGTCCCGTATTTAAAATAGGATGCTGCCTGGCTGGCTCCGAAGAGCATGTGATTCTTGATCTTGGGGACAGGAATTCGAGCTTCACGCTGGCTGTAGAGATTACTTAAATAAACTTCAAAATAGGAGTTGTTATCTCTCCTATTTTCCAGATCCCATCTATTCAGCCACATGGACATCACTTACCAACATCTCATTCCTGGTCTACTCGAAGTCTGCTTTCCGCCAACAGTAACTCTAAAATGAAAAAACAAACATGAGCTCCCATCAGCTAGATGCTCAAGGGAAGTGAGGGACAAAGGAGCTGCTCAAGTTGGCATATCAGACAGAAACTGGCTTAGGAAAGTTAGATCAACATGGTCGATCTGTTGGGGAAAAAAGTTCAGTCATCATATATGCCAGTAGGAAAAGCTCCTGTTCTCAGGTGTTAGATTTTAACGCAAAATGCCATCACCAAAAACCCGACTTACAGGAACACTCTGACACCAGTTTTATGATAAATCTGTCCCCCAGTAAGTCCTGCCCTTAAGGTGCCATTCCTGGACTCAAGCAAATTAAAATGGTACACAGCTGAGAATTGGTGGTTGGGTCAACCAAAAACACAAATTAAAAAAAAAAAAATCCTCACGTGGGGTGCCTGGATGGCTGGGTCGGTAGAGCATGTGACTCTTGATCTCTAGGTTGGGAGTTTGAGCCCCAGATTGGGTGTAGAGTACTTAAAAAAATTTTTATTTAAAATATTCTCCTTGGGCGCCTGGGTGGCTCAGTGGGTTAAGCCTCTGCCTTCAGCTCAGGTCGTCATCTCAGGGTTCTGGGATGGAGTCCCATGTGGGGCTCTCTGCTCGGCAGGGAGCCTGCTTCCTCCTCTCTCTCTGCCTGCCTCTCTGCCTACTTGTGATCTGTCAAATAAATAAAATCTTAAAAATATATATATATATATTCTCCTTTGCAGAGGCCACTTTTAAGCAGTAGGTTCGAGCAATGGAAACCGGAATGAACTTACCTGGGCCCACAGCAACCACCCGGTTGAAGGCAAACAAGCCCTTTCGGTGACCCACCTCAAAATACCTGTAAGCCCTAGATGACGGATGGGCTACTTAAAACTGAGCACAGGTACCAAAAAAGGAAAATTCCATTCATTCCCATCCCTTCTCGCCTTCCCCCTTCACTACAGCCCCCAGCTACGCCTCCTGGCAGTTTAGCCAAAGAACATCTCTTGTTCTGCCTCTAGTAAATTCTTTCCTCCACCTGCCCGCGCCGCCAGCCTCTGCTTGGAAACTCAAGTATGCTCAAGAAAACGGTCTATCAAAAAAAGGCCTCACATGGGAAGAAACGGGATCCAAAAATGTGTTTTCATCTGCTTCCTCCTCTCTCTCTCTGTGCCTACTTGTGACCTCTCTCTGTCAAATAAATAAAATCTAAAAAAAAAAAAAAAAAGCCTTTAAAAAAAAAAAAAGGGCGCCTGGGTGGCTCAGTGGGTTAAGCCTCTGCCTTCGGCTCAGGTCATGATCTCAGGGTCCTGGGATCGAATCCTGCATCGGGCTCTCTGCTTGGCAGGGAGCCTGCTTCCTCCTCTCTCTACTCTCTCTCTCTCTCTGTGCCTACTTGTGATCTCTCTCTGTCAAATAAAATCTTTAAAAAAAAAAAAAGCCTTCAAAAATGTGTTTTCAGGAGCATTCAAGAGACATTTAAAGAATCAATATCTATTCACTTTAAAGAGATTTTCCCACCTTGAGGAATTCTTTTTCCTAAATCTGTTTTCACCTTAGTCTAAAACATACGTTAGAACCGTGATAAAATGAAGTGTCCTGCGCACCTTACTTACAAGTAAAATTAGCTACGGCTGAATCTCCATTCTTTTCCAAGTTTGCCCAGCACACGAAGATGCTCCCAGACCACGCGTTTCCTACGACAGGCCAGGATACAAATGCTTACGCCGGAGATCAGGAGACGAAAGGCTGCAGAGCTCTACGGGGGGCTCTCTTGAAGGCCCAGCAGCGACCCCCTCTCTGGGATCCATTCTGTACCCTCCGATCACGCCGACCTGCGAACCAACAAAGAAAGGGTATCCATCGCCATCTTCTCACGGTTGGGATCGGAACATGGGGGGGCCTCCTGAGGCCGGTGTGATCAGAACTAACTGGCCAATGTTCAAAGACATCAGCATTGTCGATCTGATGGGGAAAAAAGCGAAATCATCATTTACACCGGCCAAGGACCAGGTCCGCACGGAGGCGCGGATTTTTCCAGTTCTAATTGGTTTCCCCGACGCCTATTTAGGGTCAGAGCAGAGGGAGCCAGAGGGAAAAGGAGGAACAGAGATCTTGAAAGGAGAACAGCAGTGTCTCCACTCACCACATAGAGCAGCAAACGCGGGTTGCCGGGCCCGCACCACAGCGGATGAAGCGCAGCCGAGAGGACGCAAAAGGGAACGAGCCGAAGACGCAAAAGAAAGAAAAAAACCCCAGACTTCTCTTATATAACCAGGGGAAGCTCTCGCGCCTGCGCACTGCACTCGAGGAGCTTCCCCTTCCGTCCCGCGGCACGCGGGGCCCTCTGGGAAATGTAGTTTCGGAGCCGCCCGGCCCCAGGCGATCTAATGGTTGTCAAGGCCGCTCTAGCCCCGCCCCCTTCGCCGTACACTCGGGGCCACCGGGGCTCGTCGGCTTCGCCGCCATGTCGCGCTTCGCACGCACTAAGCCGCCTGCCGGGTTCCCCCTCCTCCGGGGCGGACTGAGGCCTGCGACGGCCTTGGGCACTGTTAACCCTCCCCCCGAAATCCCCTCCCCTCAGCCGCGTCCACCCGAGCCCGCCGGTCCCGCCGCCGGGGGGAGCTAGGTGACGCCAGCCGGCCCGTCAGCCGCGCGGGCAGTGCCACAGAGCCCGGCCCCCTCGCTCGCAGCCCCGAGGTCCCCTCCTCCTCCCCCACCTCCCTCCTCCTCCGCCTCCCGGCCGCCCGCCCGGCCCCTCGCCCCGCCCAGTGTCTGCGGGGAAAGGAAACCGAAAGTGCGCTGCGCCGGGTGGGGCCGCGGACCTTCCTGGGCCCGAACCCGAGCCTCATTCGCGGCGGCGGAGACGGCCGCGAGAAGACTTGTGGGAGCCGGGTGAGTGACCCCCGACCCGCGCCCCAGCCCCGCACCTGCTTCTGCCCGCCGCGACCCCCGGCGCCTGCGCCGCCCGCCACTGCCTCTGCCGCCGCTTCTCCCCGGCGCCCTCTTCAGTCCCCGGCGCCCCGTACCCGCCTCAGCATCCCCGCCGCCGCCTCAGTACCCCGCCACCCCCTCGTTGCCCCGTCTCCCCATCATCCACCTCAGAGTCCCGGGTTCCCCCCTCACAGCCGCGTTATCCTCTTGGCGCCCCCCCATCGCCACCTCTGCCTCCGACTCCCTCAGTTAGTTCTGCCCTCTACCCCCATCTCTGCCCTCACTTTCTGCCCCATCCGCCCCCTTCATCTTCCTCGGTCCTTACCTGCCATCGCCTCCTTCACCCCCAGCTTTAACCCTCAGTACCTGCGTTCCCCATCCCTACTTTCAGGACCCCCCTAGCTGAGCTCAGCCCGACCCTCTTCTTCTGGAGGCCCCCCTACCTCCTCTGCCATTCCCGGCCCAGCCTAGCCATAGCACCTTTTTCGTGCCACTGCACGACCCTGACTCCTCCTCGACCCCCTAATACGTCCATCAGGACCCCCTGGGCTCCTGAGTGCCCGTGATTCCTTCATTCTTCTTTCTAGTACCTTCTTGGGACCCTGCAAACCCCCCCCCCCCACCGCCATACGGACCCCTGGCCTCTCATTTCAGTCTCTTCCACACACCCCGCCCCTTGGTAATTACCATTCTCCTCTGATTTGACCCGTCTACTAGCTTGACCATCACTGATTTTCTTCTTCCTACCCTTTTAGGCCTTGACTCCCAAAGAAACCTACTTTAGTCTGCTTTATTTCATGGCATTTCCTGTTCTCTTTGCTCCTCCCTTTGCTTTCTTTTTTGTTTTGTTTTTTTTTCCCATTTCTTTTACCCCAGAAAATTTCTGAGTTTCTGTTTCAGTGTTTTTCAGCAAGAGAAAGAAGGCATTTTCTCCTTAGAATTTTTTTTTTTTTTTTTAATTAAGGGCGGCGGGAGAAGACGCGAAATACTGAATCTGCACTTGAGAGCTAGCTAGGTTTGATGTGATGGGGAAAGAGATTCACCCACAATATTCCCAGCAGGAAGGAAACGGACTCCTTTTCTGATGGGGATAAAAGCTATTCCTCATATATTGCCAAATCTATTCACAGTTTCCAACTATGAATATTTTAAAACTCAGTGAGAGGGACAGTCTCAAAAATCCCTTTACTGAGGGCTCTGAGTCACCCACTCTTTCCCTAGCCCCAGCTCATGTGATGTGTGTGAGTTGCACTGAGAAGTTCCCTTAAAGGGGCTTCCTCATCCTCTTATAGGATCACTGTCAAAAACCTTTAAGGTAGAAGAAAGAGGAGAGGGAAAGAACTAAAGATTTCTAGCTGGTCTGGGGGAAACAGCATCCTGTAGAGGCTGAGCCTCTGGTTATTGAAACATGTAATTTCCTTCTCTTGATTCAGTAGAATAGAGGGCTTAATCAGTTTGGCTGCATTCCAAAGAATAGGATAAGGGATAACTGCTCACTAATTATTTACAAACTGTAGAATGCGGTAAACTACAGAGTACTGTGTAATATAAATGCTGGGTGGGGTGGTGAATACATGGTTTTTGGATTAACAACAACGTACTACTTTCTGTCCTGGAAACAATATTTGTCTGCTTTATGGGAGAGGAAAATGAAACCTAGCAACTGGTTAAGTACTTGGCTAAAGGCATAAACCAAACAGTAGTTTTAAATGGGAATTGATGAACTCCTGCCCCAGTGAAGTGCAGGGATAAAGGGAAAGGGGAATTTGAAATCATCTAAATTGTGAATTTAACATTTTATATCATATTTGGGCATTCACAGAGTTGAATTTGGATACACACTCACACCCATGATTAAATCCGTATTTAACTCTTAGTTAATAGATCATTAAGATGTAGAGGCAGAAGGACTGGCTTGATGCTATTTTGGGTTTTTTTCTGCTAGATACTGTATTTCAAGGGCTCTGATCTCTCTCAATCTGTGCAGATTTCCAGGTAACTGAAAGTAACGGGAACGTGAAGGAATTCATGTAATTCAGACATGGAGGACAGAAGACCTTGCTTGGAGGCCAGGCCAAGGAATCCCAGGAATCCCTATACTAATCACAGAGGTGAGCAAGATTTTCTAACTAATGGGAAGGAAATTGAGTTCTTTATGAATGAGTAGGCCCACCTAAGACTGACAGCATCTCTCCAGTAAAGAATGGCTTATTCCTTAGCCATAGCATGAATGACTCAAAAAAATAAATAGCCTCTCCTTTCCCTAAGAGAGCTGACGAATGGGTACAGTTCACTTTAACAAAGGTAGTGTAAGGTGTCTGAATTGGAAATAACGCTGATTTAGAGCAATACCACCCAATAGAAAAGAAACATAATCAAGCCAAAAATGTAATTTTTAATTTTCTAGTAGCATCATTAAAAAAAGCAAAAAGAAACAGATGAAATGCATTTTTGAAATTTAACACTAATGTAATAAAATTTAATACCTATTTAAATGAGTATATCCAAATAATGTCATTTTATTGTAATAATTGAATACATGTATTTTATTATTATAGAACTTTATTAATTTCAGTATTTTTACCTATTCCCCCAAATACTTAAATAGTATCATCTTAAGGTGGTATCAGTATAAAGAAATGAGATATTTACCCTATTTTTGGTATCAAGTCTTCAAAGTTACATATGTTGTTTTACACATCTTTTTTTTTTTTTTTTAAAGATTTTATTTGTTTATTTGACAGAGAGATCACAAGTAGGCAGAGCAGCAGGCAGAAAGAGAGAGGGAAGCAGGCTCCTTGCTGAGCAGAGAGCCCGATTCGGGGCTTGATCCCAGGACCCTGAGATCATGACCTGAGCCGAAAGCAGAGACTTAACCCACTGAGCCACCCAGGTGCTGCATGTTGCTTTACACATTTTAATCAGACCAGCCACATGTAAGATTCTTAACATCCATACATGTTAGTGGATATGTATGTGATAGCATGTGTCTAGAACCCTAGTCACCAAAGCAGTTAGTTCTGAAAGCATCACTACTGCTATGATGATTGTTTCCTTAGAACTTTCTTAAACAAAACCAAATGGATTCTTGCTTTTCCCTAAGTTTACAGTATGTCACCTGAGTTTAGCTGTGAAACAAATGAGAAAGAACTGTTGAATTTTATTTTATTAGCTGCATGAATGTTGAAAGAATGAGAAACAGCACAATTTTTCATTCTTTAAAACATCAGTTCTTTCAGATCAAAATAGTAGAAGGAGGACTTTCTTCTGATATTTTGACTTTGAAAAGTAAATAAGAAAGTAACACTTATAGAATTTAGGTTTCAGTAATACAGTATTTATATTTTATCAAATGTTCCTTTGTGTTGTCACAATAAGATTTTCTCTACAAAGTACAAAACAAAAAGTGTACAAAAATGGATTTAGCTTCTGATGTCATGAAATGGTATGATCATCTTGACTGTGATGTGCGTTCATAACATTTTTTTTTTAAAGATTTTTTTTTTATTTATTTATTTGACAGACAGAGATCACAAGTAGACAGAGAGGCAGGCAGAGAGAGAGAGGGAAGCAGGCTCCCTGCTGAGCAGAGAGCCCGATGCGGGACTCGATCCCAGGACCCTGAGATCATGACCTGAGCTGAAGGCAGCGGCTTAACCCGCTGAGCCACCCAGGTGCCCCGTTCATAACATTTTTATCTTCATATCATTGTATACAATCTGATTTTGTTTTTAAAATCTCCAAGTATGGGGCGCCTGGGTGGCTCAGTTGTTAAGCGTCTGCCTCTGGCTCAGGTCATGACCTCAAGGTCCTGGGAACGAGCCCCACATCGGGCTCCCTGATCAGCAGGAAGCTTGGTTCTCCCTTTCACACTCCCCCTGCTTGTGTTCCCTCTCTTGATGTCTCTTTCTGTCAAATGAATAAATAAAATATTTTCTAAAAAATAAATAAAAAATAAAATCTCCAAGTAATTCTCTTAAGTTGGGTCAGCTCCATCAATTTTATAGGAAACGGAAGTGAAAAAAAACTGGGCTTGGGTACGTTGGCCAAGTTACTTAAGAAATATGTGGCAGATTAGGAGAAGAGTAAATGAAACAAGATGGGATTGGGAGGGAGACAAACCATAAGTGACTCTTAATCTCACAAAACAAACTGAGGGTTAATGCGGGGAGGGGGGTTGGGGGGGTGGGATTATGGACATTGGGGAGGGTATGTGCTATGATGAGTGCTGTGAAGTGTGTAAACCTGGCGATTCACAGACCTGTACCCCTGGGGATAAAAATATATGTTTATAAAAAATAAAATTAAAAAAAAAAAAGGAATAT